TTGGGGCTGGAGTCGTGACAACTACTTCCTTGGCAGGGCTGGAGCGGCTTGGCTGGGCGGTTGTGGGACGTATGGGGAGAAGGGGGGTGGTACTGAAGATGCTGGACAACATGGAATCAGTGCTCATGTCATTGAAGGTGCGTGTGCTGTCCAGATTGGCTTTGCTGTCTCCTGGGCATGCAGTCCTCTGTGGAAGAGAAAACACTCCCCTGTAGAGGCAGTGGGCTTCAAGAGCAGGCAGCTATTCTGTGGGGTTAGAACTCGCTGCACAGTCCCATCTTTCCCACTCCTACAAAAATGAGCCCAAGAAAGGAAGAAACCTTTGCTCCTTTCTTTGTCAAGTCTCCCCATAAGTGTCTCCGTGTGACTCCCAGTTGTCTTTCTCTTTGCTTTCCTTGTCTTCTAGGCTTCATTAATCACCCTTTCTCCTTCAGTAACCTAGATAGACAGTCTCAACTAGGTTGGGAATGAGAGATGGAGCTAAGGGCTGAACCTCAAAGGTTCGTTTTCTTGAGTACCTTCTTCAAAGTCTCTTTGTTGGCAAGTGGCTGCAGGTGCCACCTGTGTAAGCTAGTCAGCTTGGTGTGAGTGCCCCTGGAAGGTGGGCTGCCCATAGCTCTCTTGGATCTTCCCTGTATTTTTGCCTTCCTCCCGTTTTCCCACTTCCTTATTTCCAGGGTGCCCCGTTTTGCCTGTTGCTTGCCCAGAGCACACCACCACAGTCTTCAGGAAACAGCTAAATAACTCACCTTAATGAAATACTTTTTCTTAGTACAGCGATAAAAAGAAAAGGTGCAGAAGTCAGGAAAGATAGGACTTTTTGGCAGTTCAGAGCATACGGGCCCTAGAAAGAGGTAAATAAAGACACAGACTCAGCTATAAACTCCAGTGCTGGGGTCCCACCAGCCCTCAGCAATAACCTCACTGTGGAAGGACATCGCTCCATGAAAAGCCCCATGGCCATTTGGGTGCCTCCCTGAACCCAGGTGAGAAACTCCATCACTTCTTGGTTATTTTCATGACCCTAGGCATAAGAGGAAGCTAGTCCTAAGGACACGTAGATGCAATCAAGTGTGATAGAGGATGCTCACAAGCAGATGTCTTCTCACTGCAGGATTGCTATCCACCCTTCTCACCCACCAGCTCTTGAGTCTCCCATCTCTCCCAGTGGTCAGCTCAGTGCTGGCCATGGGGGATGCCTACCCGCCCATCTGCTTGCCCTTGGGAGTCACAGTTGTCTTTACCCTCAGGGATGACTCCGTGGTTTTCATACTCATCCAGCCTCTGGACCAGGGGGTACTGGCAGCCGTACAGCATGCGAAGGAAGCAGGCAGTGTTGGCACGGCCTGCTGTCTGGAGGAACCTGAAGAACTGGCTGTACTCCTCATCAGAGAGTGGTGTTCCAGGCTGCTGTGCCTTCCCGCCGTGGGAGCTGGCATTGAAGCCCAAACCCAAGAGCACTGGTGAAAAATAAAATGTAGGGAGTCAAAGGAAATGCTAACCATGGCACACCTGGAGGAGCTGAAGGGCTGAACCCAGATCTCTTGTTGCCCTGTCTGGGTGCAGGATCCAACAAATGGGAAATGCAGTAACAGGCTCAAGATGGGAGGTCTAGACTTTGGGGAAGACTTTCTCTGCCCATGTTGAAAGTGGTGTAGTGTTTGGTGGCAGTACATGGCTGAAGGACCTTCACCAAAGCTCTAGAGATTCAAATCTTGAATTGGGAGAAATGTCTTGGAAATCATGGAACTGGGAATGTAGCTGTTGTCAGGGTGGAGCAAGGGAACTGTTTCCTATCAAAATTTCAGCCTCCGCAAATTCTGTTCCTCCACTTAACTGGGTCCAAACCCCTCGAGTTAATGGAGCATGCTCCAGTGGATGTGTGTGTGCCCTTACCATGGTCCAAGCATTCACTGAACCCTTATGCAAAACTTAAAGCCAGTTCTTCCCTGTGAAGAACATTATGAAAGCTCATGAAATCAAACTTTTGGAGGTTAGATGCGCCAAAAAATAAAAGCTTCTTGTGCAATCTTAATTTCATCTCCCCTTGCATATGCTTTTTATATGTTCTTTAAGTACACAGCAACCTACTCTTCCTTCCTAAAGACTTGGTAGCTCCCTCAGTGTAGAGACTGCACCTGCTGTGTGAGGGAGTTGGCTTCCCAGGTTAAACACTTACTATATTCAGGACATCTGCCTCATTTCCCACAAACTGGAAGATACATGGAAGAATGAGTCAGGAAGATGCTGCAAGGATAGTTTTGTAGATACTCTTCGAAGAAGTAGGTTTTATTCCTGGCTACACCACAGAGGTTCCTGTGTGATGCTAGGCAAGTACCAGGTTTCTTGGTGTGTTATTAATGGCATTTTCCTTACCTTGTGGGTTGCTGTTTATAGGAATGCTGAGCTCTCTTGCTGTTTTGGAGTCTGTGTGTGGTGTATTTTGAATGGCAAGTAAGTGCTACATTAGCATATGTATTCTGAGAAGCCAGGGCTGAGATAGCTCAAACTGAGATTCTAAAAGTAGCAGATGTTTTTGACTTTAATTCCTCTCTGCCCTCATTTTGCCATTTGCAAAATCACTAGAAACCAATTAATAGCTGTAAAGCTCTAAAACATAGAGTATGTAAGAAGTTAATGAGGAAATGAGTCAACCTGTCTACAGCAGAATTCAAATGGGATCAAGTAAATAAATCTGAGTCAAACACTGAATGATAAGGGTGACACAACATACCGAATAGCTGCTCATTAGAAAGGCAGTGTCCATCCAAGGGACTAAAGAAGCCGACACCCATGTAAAAACATTGAAGCTAGGTAATTAAAGAGCTGGGTCACCATGCCCATGCCCAGGGGGAACAAATCTAACAGTACAAAATGAGTGTGATTCAGGCATGCTCAAAGTTTGACTTTGCAACCTCTGTAATGTTCTCTTAGCATAGGACATGGTGGTTTTTTGTTGTTGTTGTTAAAAACTAACTTAAAAGCTTCCTCATGGCCTATGTCTTATTAACAGCTATGCCAACTTATTAACACCTATGTGTCTGTAGATTCAGCAGGATCAAAGAAAAGCATGTAACCTTCCCCCCCGAGAGGACAGCAGGGGTTATTGAGCACTCGGTGAGGCAGTAGGAGAGGAGAACACCACACTTGGCCAGGTGACTATGTGTGGGTTTGCAGAAAGCAGGGGAATGAGTAGAATGGGGGATAGTGGACCCCTCCAGGGTTATCTGCTAGGATGTGGCCAGAGCAGCCTGGCCTTTCTGTCCATTTCTTCCAGCTATATCCCCTTCTGTTTGTCTTTAACCAAGGTCCTCCCTCAGACCTCTTTTCTCCTGTCACTTCACCTGGATAGCTCTTCCCTTATGGCCTTGCAAGTCACGTCTACATCTGTGCCTCTGTGCTCATGTCTGGTTTACTCACCCAGCTGTCCCCATCATCACATCCCCAGTCTCCACCTCTGCTCCAGCCTCAGCTCACTACATCCAGCTCCTAGTCCTCCTCCCTGGTTCCTAGGTCACTCTCTGGCCCTCCTTGATGAATAAAATATTAGCTCCAGTCAGGGACAACTGGCAAAGTTTTAATCTCTTTGCACCTGAGGCATTCAGGGGTGCTCCTGTCTTTCCCTCTTGCCCTCAAGTTGCTAAAGCTGAGGAGCCATGGAGAGGGGTAAAGAGCAGCTGGTTTGGTTGCTGTTCCTCACAACCTTGCTTGAAAGAGAGATGTGTCCTACTCACCAAACAAAACCAGACAAGCCCATGTGGCCGACATCACGCCGTGAGCGATGCCTGTAACAGCTTGGGACACACTCCTGCCAGAGGTGTCACATCCTCTGCTTTGCCCGCCTGCCTGTGTCCTCATCCTGCCACACCGGGTTCCCCAGCAGCAGTGGAATGTCTTGTGGCGTCACAGACACCTCAGTTCCAACTGTTCCTCCTGCCCATGCTCCCCTCCGCCTCCCCTTCTGCCCTGCCACTGGGTGTGTGCCCTACCTGGCACTGGGTTTTGTGCTGGGGAAGGCAGCAGGGGACTAAGCCTGCTGAATGAGGCTGAGTTCGGACCCAGGCCACCTCCTGCCATAGCGGGGTCTGCCCTCCTTGCTGTGACACCAGGTCCAAACTCAGAGGAGAGCCCTCACAGAGTATGTTTGATTTTCTCAGGTTGATGTACACTGCAGCTTTCTGTTCTCCCTGCCCCTCCTGCCTCCCAGGCTTGAGGTCTTAGTGGTGGCTCTCCCATCCCTGGCCAGCTATGTCTTTTGTGGGGCAGCCCCTTTGGGGCCTCTGTCTCTGTCATCACAGGACCTGGGTGTGGCCCATTGCCTCCCCATGCTACAGGTTCTTGTTCCTCATTCAGCCTCGTAAGACTGGGTTATCAGTCAGGACACTTATCTGGGGACTTGGCTTTATCCAGACATAGTTGTTCTGGAGACTGGCACCTCATGCCTGTCTGGTGCTTGGTGGCGCTTCAGGTTTCCCATATTGTTTAGGGACAGATCTTTACCACCCATTGCACAATGTGCTTTTCTGCCATATCCCACAACCTGCCTGGCTCTGCACATCAACTGTCTCCTACATCCATGTCTGCTTTCTGTAGGTGCTCACCCATCATTTTAGGGTGCCTGTTTTGACTATATGCTCACCTTGAACAACAGCAGAGACTGAACCAGAAGGACATTTCTCTCCTCCTAAAATTAGGAGGATGGTTCAGCAGGGTCACAGCGGCACTGCCTCATAGGTGGATGGGGGTTGTACAGAGAGGGAAACCTTGGCTTCCCTGCCTTTTACCTGGGATTAAAGCCTGCAGCCACTGCCTGCTGCTGGAAGGATTGGAAACTCTCCCCATGGGGGGATACCCACTGAATCCACTGTGGAGTAGGCAGCAGGGAGCAGGAACGATATGATTCCAAGCTGAGGCAGAGCCAACAGAATGTCAGCTCTCCATGTGACCGGGGGGCTTCTTTTATCGTGATGGCGTTATACAGGTGGGGAAATCTTCCATCTGTCCTTGGGAGGGTCTGGCAGCTGATGTCTGTTGTGGTACCCTCCTCTGGTACACCACTGAGCATCCAGTTCAGTTTTTCTCATTTTGAAAGCAAAATATGCTGGTTCACATTTCTTTTTCATTTCTACTGATGAACACCTGGTCATCAGTAATTTTACTTACTTCTAGTGACACGGTGGGCATCCACGTGACCAGAAAGGTGAAACTCCATTGCAGAGCTGGCATTCCCATGTGCAGGTTTTAGCATTTTCTTTCTTTAACCTGTACAGTTCTAGGATATCACTGAGCCCTCATCATCTTCAAATGCCTCTAAACAAATGCCACTGCACAAATATAGTGCTGAAGCTAAATGAGTGACCTAATTTTCTATCCCACAAACCCCACTCCCGCGCAGCACACTTCTGCTCTGAACAGAGATCCTTGAGAAGTGGGATTGTGTGTTGGCTGTCAGAACTGGCCAGACTAAATTATCTTGGTGTTCATGCATTAACAGGTGTGTGTGACTGCTTTCCTGCTCGCTGCCAGCCCTGTAAACTCCATCTGGAACAAGACAGCCAAGTTGCCATTTTTCTGGAGCACAGGGCAGGACATCCTGCCTTTGGACTGCTCCTGTCGGTAACGTGAGCAGATCAAAGTATCTTCTCTCACCCAGACCTATGCGTGCCTGGCTGAGCCACTGAGAGCGACCAGGCAAAATACTCCTTGGGTAAAAGCAATAGACTGTCTGCATCCAGACAGACACAGAGAGCAGCCCAGTTGTGAAGGGAATGTGGCATTTTCCCTCTACCAGAACTGCTGAACTGCATTAAACACATTATGTTTTTTCTTAGTTCACTAGGAAGAAAGGAGATGGAGGGAAAGTGGTTTGAGGAATTGATGTTTTTCTTACATCAAACTAAGTGGGATGCATTTTTGGTCTTAAAGTGCAGCAGGAGGACCACTGTGACACTTGTGAGAAGGCAGCAAGCTGTCAGGCAGCTCTCTGCAGCATGTGTAGTTGACCCTGGCTTCGCAACATGAGCTGCCCCTGGTTATTGGACCCAAACAGCAGTGTCATGGTGTGCATGGCAGGACAGACAGTGACCCTGACGCATGTTTCTGGGTGTCATTTTCCTCTGGTCTAGGTTGCTTTTGTCTCCAATACTTATTCTCCTGTAATCTCACTCTACAGCACTGCTACTACAATGGGTATTTATTTCACCTGTTTTCTTTCCTCTGATCAGGATCTGCAGTCACTGATGGTTTAAACATCCTGGATGGTGTGATGAGAAACAGCTTTGTGGCCAGAAGCAGTGGAACACCAAGAGAGCAGAAAGTTTGCTTCCCAGGTGAGAAACTGAACAGAGCATGTCTGGGAAGGGGAGAGAAGAGCTGAGTGCTGAAAATTTGGTGTGTGCTGTGCTGCATACTACACGCTCATCCTGCCTCTGCTGCTCCTGTACTGTAAAGATTCTGCTTTCAGGAGGATTTGTAGGCAAGGTACGATAACGATGAAACACACTCTTGGGGTATCTAATATCCTTTCAAAAGGACCCTATCCAAATGGAATTAAATCCTGTGTATTTTCAGCAAAGACTATACTCAGAAAGCACAGCTAACCAAAGCGTGGCTTTTTCTTCCTTTCACACTGACAATCTTTCTGATGTTGTACTGGTTTTCTGCCTCGAGGTGCATGCCTCGGGCCAGTGCTGTATCTTTATTTGTACTGCAAATGTTTTTCAGCCCTGAGTGTTGTAAACAAAACTTTGGGAATCACTATAACCAGTGCAGTGGTGTCTTCCAGTATCTGCAGATTACCTGAAACCAAACCTGAGGGGTTTGTCCTGCTGCATTCACCTCATATTCTGACCTTCCACACGTAAGAGGATGATGTTAACTCTGTAAGCAGTTCCATCCAGCTAATCAGCTTACCTCACGCTCCAGCATCCATTTCTGAGGTGTGTTCTCCTTATAACTAATAAAAAATCAGAAAGCTCTGAATGTTTCAGTCTAATGGTTCATTTCCGTGCTTGATTAATAAAACAGTTTATCTTTCCACTTCCCTATCTGTTCTGTAGACAGAATCTACGTGTAATTTTCTGCAGAATATATAGCGCTTTCTTTTTAAGGAAAAGGGCTATGACTGGAAAGAAGAAAGAAAATAGTCTACTTGGCAGGGGTGGATGCTCCTGTGGTGTTGGCTGCTTCCCTCCCTGATTAAGCATGGGAATGCTGGAAGGAAAGCAGTGATTCATAGGCAACAGGAAGAGAAGCAGCTACAGTAGGTGTTGTTGAGGAGAGCAGCGATGACGTTCCTCTAACCTTGCTAGACATGGGAACTGTGAGGACAAGCATGTGACAGGTTTTGTCTTTTATGGCTGTAACCTTTTGACAGAGGACCCTTTTTGCAACCTGTACAGCAGCGGCTACCTGTCCTTGGGTCATATTCCCCTCCCATACTCAGTCTCCGTGCCCTCTCTCTGCCTGGAGCAGATATTGAGGGGCTGGCTCCTTTGCTGTTAGCTAATGGTAGCTGATGTGCTGCAGTTGCCTTGTTTGGACTTCTCCCTCAGAGAAGCAGGGGGGTTATTCATTGCTAGTTCCTCTGTTCACTCCAGCAGGTGCCAGGACCATGGGTGACACACAGAAGGGCAAGATTCATCAGGGAAGTCCTGTGAGACCTGGACTGCATCTGTTCCCCTCCAGAATGCTCAAAGGAGATACCCTCCAGGATGCTGACCAAAGACATGACTGCAAGCAGGAGCTGGAGATAAAAAGTGAGGTGGAGACATCTTATGGAGAGAGGCAGAGAATGGTAACTCCCTGTGGGACGGAAGTCTGGGAGTGCGACAACAGTGATAGAGGCCACATGAGCAAGGCTATCCTTGCTGGTGACAAGCCAGACCCAACCATTTGTGGGAACGGTGCCATTTGGATTCAGCAGATGGGAGAGAAAACCTACGAGTGTCCTGAGTGTGGGAAGAGCTTCAGCCGGAGCTCGTACCTGAGCCAGCATCAGAGGATCCACCTAGCAGAGAAACCCTTCAGCTGCTCCGAATGTGGGAAGAGTTTCACCCGCAACTCGGACCTGATCAAACACCAGCGGATCCACACTGGCGAGAAGCCTTACCAGTGCAGTGAGTGTGAGAAGACCTTCAGCCAGAGGTCCAATGTGATCAGGCACCAGCGGACCCACACAGGAGAGAGACACTACCAGTGCAACGAATGTGGGAAGAGCTTCAGCCAGAACTCACACCTCATTGTCCACCAGCGGAGCCACAAGGGTGAGAAACCCTTTAATTGCCCACGGTGTGAGAAAAGCTTCAGCGATCGCTCCTCCCTGATCATACACCGGAGAGTCCACACTGGAGAGAAGCCTCACAAGTGCCAGGAATGTGGGAAGCGTTTCCGGGACAGCTCGGCCATCATTCGGCATCAGAGGATCCACACAGGAGAAAAACCGTATGAGTGCACCGAGTGTAGAAAAGCCTTCCGGCAGAGCTCCTCACTGGTGACCCACATGCGAACGCACACAGGTGAAAAGCCCTACAAGTGCCCAGTGTGTGGGAAGGGCTTTAGCCAGAGCTCAGCACTCACCACTCATCGCCGGATCCACGGTGGGGCAGCCTTGCCCATATACCATGGTAGCCTCCTGCCCAACCCCTACCAGTGCGCTGAGTGTGGCCGGAGGTGCAGCGACCGCTCCACCCTGACCAAGCACCAGAGCACACATGCTGAGGAGCGGCCCTACATCTGTGTGGAGTGCGGGGACAGCTTCCGACGGAGCTCGGCTCTCAACGTGCACCTGAGGATCCATCGCGGGGAGAGACCATACAAGTGTGAGGAATGTGGAAAAGCATTCAGGCACAGCTCAGCCCTCGGTGCCCACCTGAGGATCCATGCAGGAGCCAAGCCCTACAAGTGTGGTGAGTGTGGGAAAAGCTTCCGGAAAAGCTCAACACTTAAAGTGCATTTGAAGATCCACACAGCCAAGAAACATTATAAATGTATGCTGGGTAGGAGAATGCTCACTTCCAGCTCACTTCTGCCATAGGGCTGCAGTGGATGTTCAGAACGGGAAACAAAAGCAGTGATTGAGGATACCTGAAAAAGGTGGGCGATGAGAACCACGTTGGGAAGAGACTGACTGGAGACATGCTTACCCCAGTGGGACAAAAACCATTAGGAGGTCTGGAAGCAGGGAGTCAGTCATAAGAGTCAAGTGCTGGTGGTTTAGGAAGAGCGCAGAGAGCTTAAGGAATGGGCACCAGCTTCTGGGTAAATTGGGAGCTGTGAATATGTGGTAGAATAATAACTGGGAGAATCAGGCTTGTAAAATAACTTTACAACTAAGGTGAAGATCAAAATGCAAAGTTCCAGGCTGGTTTTGACTCAAAACTTTAGCTTGTTAGACACTGTGGTAGTCTTAGGAACTCTTTTTATTACTGTCTGTTACTTTTCATGAATGTAGTAAGTTAACCCAGTGTTTGACAAGGCATTTCCAAATCTTTTGAGTCTGAGACTTTGGAGCTGAACTTCAGTCTGTTTGTCTTTTCTGACTCTTTTCCAAATCTTAGACAGGACAGTGAATTCCTACCTCTTATGACAAAGCCTGAGTGACACGATAGCTGAGCAACACAAAACTGTCATGGCTTTCCCAGAAAACAGGAATGTGCAAGCACTTCTAGTTGGAATGCTGCCCTTCACTAGTCTGTGGCAGTTTCTCCTAAATTTGCCCTTGGTGGTCTGGAGCACCTTCCAACTTGCATTGTCAACAAAACATGGGCAAAATTGTGGCCTTACTTTATTTAACCAAAAGAAATATCCTCCCCCCGATACCCTAGTGTGAACTGGTATACAGTGAGTTCTTACTGGTAGTCAAGAGGCTGTTGGCAGTTTTGTAGTCTTTTCTATGATACTCTTTAGCTCACTATTGTTGGTGAAGTATTAACATATAAAGTTCAGCATTATGAGTTAGGAATTACTGTATTTGCATTTGTTGCTATGTTAACGGCTGTATATTACATGAACTTCCTCTATATTGGTATGTTTTATTACTAGCTACATATTTCTACCCTAAATAAAACTTTTTATTTCCCTCTGTATAAACCAGTTTTCTGTCCTTGCGTACAACGGGTGTGAGATTACAAACAGAGATAGGCCGATTCTGGTGTGGCGAGGGGCTCCAGACGGGCACCCTCACCAAGCCGGCCAGGGGCTCAGGCTTGGCTTTCCTCCGGCGGGTCCGTCGCTCCGCTGGCCGAAGCCCAACAGCAGGACGGCAGCGGCAGGGCAGGACTGACGACGGACAGGAACCAGGCCTTAGTAAAGGCAGAATCACCCAGCGTCACGGAGCAGGAGTCACGGCCCGGCGAAAGGCCGACGGACCCGCCACCCCTCCCGGGAGCCCCCTCCTCCAGGCCACATCCCACCGCCCCGCTCTAATCGAGAAGAACCGAGCTTTACCTCCCTCACCCCCGGGGGAAGGGCGGTTCTTCCGCCCCGCGCCCGCAGTCACCGCGGCGTCACGGGAAGGGGGCGGTGCGTCTCGGGCGTTCGGTTCGAAGCGGCGCGGCGGGATGGAGAGCGGGGAGGCGGCCGCGGCGGGGCCCGGTGGGGCCCGGTTCCCGTTCCCCTACACGCCGTACGCCATCCAGGAGCAGTTCATGGCGGCGCTGTACGGCGCGCTGGAGGCTGGCCGGGTCGGGATCTTTGAGAGCCCCACGGGCACGGTGAGCCTCACCGGGAGGAGGGCAGAGGCCCCTCGGGGTGGGGAGGGTGAAGGGGGCAGGTCTGGGTGTGATCCCGGTGAGGAGGGGCCGTCACCGCGGAGGGGCAGAACCTCACTCACCCTGTGCCTTGTCCTGTGGCAGGGGAAATCGCTGAGCCTGATCTGCGGGGCCCTCACCTGGCTCCGAGACTTCGAGCAGAAGAAGCGGGAGGAGGAGGCGCGGCTGCTGGCACCCGAGGAGAGCGGGCAGGAGGGAAAGGGGTGTCCGGCCTCGGCTGGGCCAGCACGCCCAGAGAGCCAGGGCACCGCTGGGGAGCCGGACTGGGTTACGGCATTTGTGCAGCAGAAAGAAGAGCGGGACTTGGTGGACAAGCTGAAGGTTGAGAAATGCAGTGATGGGACGAGGGGGAATGGCTCTGTCTGGCAGAGGGTAGATTTAGGTTAGACGTTAGGAATAAATTCTTCACTATGAGGGTGGTGAGGCACTGGCACAGGTTGCCCAGGGAAGCTGTGGCTGCCCCATCCCTGGCAGTGTTCAATGCCAGGTTGGGCAGGGCTTTGAGCAACCTGGTCTAGTGGAAGGTGTCCCTGCCCATGGCAGGGGATTGGAATTGGAGGAGCTTTAAGGTCCCTTCCAAAAGGAACCATTCTGATTTTATTAAATGCTCATCTGTAGAGGACATGTAAAATCACAAGGTGTGAGGCTCAGAAAGGTTGATATCATGGAAACACATGAGGCAAACTTTGGTGGTGGCCTTTGTCTTTCACAGGGCTTTGTTTTGGTTATGAGAGGTGAGACATCGCCACACAGGTTGCATAAGACAGGAAACTATATTACTCTAACTATATTAACATGGTAACATATAATAGGCATGCACTCCTGGAGAAAGGGACTGTGTACTGACAGTTGGGTTCGGAATTAATTTTTTTCTAGGAAAAAAATAGGAAACAGGAAAGTTGCATGCAGGGTTTGAGACTAAATGCACTTCATCCTTCCTCTGCTCTCCTTTTATTATAGGAAGAGCAGATCAGGAGGAAAAAGCGAGAAGATCGTCTTGAGAAAATTCGCAATAATGTGCAGTTAAAATATGCAGCAAAGAGGAAGGTGAGTTATCCTGAGGGGGTCAGAACTTCCTGGTTTGGAACCTCCAGTGTACTTCATACTTGCTTATATCTGTGGCTTCACATGGGATTTTCCAACCCTGTTTGTCTGTTTGGGATTTGGGGAGCTTTTTGTGTTAGGTTCCTGAAACTGGCCATCCAAAAGGTTTGGTGAGATACTCTGAAGTACAGACATGGAAAACCGTCTTTGCATAGAGAATTTCCTGTGATGATGTTTGTGTGTGGATACAAAGGGGGTGTGTTCTGATGGCCTTCTGGCCCTCTACATTTGTTTTAAAAGCTTTAATACTTGGATTTTTCTTTATTTTGAAAGCTCTTTATTTTGTGAGCGTGTATGAACAATATGTACTGCTGGAATAAGACCTGTAGAACTGTGATTAGATTTAAGAACATGGGAACAGAAGACACTCGCCCCACAAAAGAAAAAGCAAATGTGATTGTACTTTCCAGGCATGTCTCTTTTCTACATATAAAAAGTTCACGGATACATTTTCCTGCCATTTAGATGCATGAACTGGCCTCAGGACTCTTGACTCTAAGAGCTTTTTGGTGGTATGAGTCAAACTTCCCAGAAATACCCACATCAGGCCCCTTAACAGGCAGATTTATTAGGCTGTCAGGTTATTAGTTTCTCGTGTGCTCCATCTCAAGTGCTCTGTTATGTTTTGTCAACTCCTGTCAAAAGCATATGGCAGGAATAGCAAGGGTTCAGAGGTGAACAGCAAATAAAAAACAAGTGGAACAAAGAGCTTTCATCTCTGAAAGAGGATGAAAAGCATGTGAAATGAGGAGCATGATAAAAAAAAAGAAAGCAAATGAAAGAATATTATAGAGATTAGGAAAAGCAACTGATTCATCTTCTCTGTAGTACTCACTAACAGCATTGCTTCATAATGCTATGGTAAAAAATGCTTATTGACGTTGGAAGATACTGTTTTCAGATTTAAAAAATGAACTCTCCTTTATCAGGACACGAGGTTGATCAGAAAACTAGTCTTCAACAGTGTAATGGAATTTTTGTAGAGCGCTAGACTGCATTAGGGTAGGAACCACATAACTGGAGAAAAAATGGCAAGAGAAGCCTTGTGCCCTGCATTCTGAAGTGCTGAATTTATCATCGCTTTGAATTGAGTGTGGACAGAGGATTTGATTATGTCCTTATATGTTTGGTTGGGTTTATTTGCACACCATTTTTTTCTCAAGCAGTTGTCTTTTATGGACCACTTTAAGCAACTAACACTGGATTACATGGATATTGTAATTTGAGAACCTAGTAGTTCAGTGGGCCTTTTGCATAGGAAGTTCTTTATGTTTCGCCTTCATATATGTCTATGTGGTCAAGTCTTTGCTGGTGGCAGCTGTGTTTTGTGGTGCTGAACAGCTTCAGACACCCTTGGTGCGTTTGTTTGTCCTGCTGGGGGTTCCCCAGCAAGCCATTCCCTGTGTTACTTGTAAGGGACTCTGCTGTCTTCTGACCCATCCATGGCATAAAGCATGGAGTGTGTTAGCTTTCTTTCTGCATGAGCAGTAATGTGATCATGTGTTCCTTTCAGAGATCTGAGGAGGATGAGACAAAGCGCCTTCTTCAGCTCAGCAAGGAGGTTCTTTCAGAGGGAGCTGGAGATGCTCTAGAGCAGCTGGATCACAATGAGGAGGAGCTGATTCTTGCTGAATATGAGAGTGATGAAGAAAAGAAAGTGGTATCTGGGTAAGGGCAGGGACTAAATGGGTTCCTTTGGCTTGCCTTGATTTAAGAGATCTCACCTGTGATCATGCACATCTGGAGTTCATCCCCAGTTCAAGCTGTGGTTGTTCTGGTGGGTTCTTTGTTTAATTGGTTGGTTTGGTATTGTGGGGGGAATTTTGTTTTGGGTTTTTTTAAGCTTTTGTTAAGACTGATCAGAGTGACCTGAAGTGATTTCTGAGAAAGTGCACTTTTGTTAAAATGTGTGGCAATGTCCTGCCTTTGACCATGTCCAGTTTCCCAAAGAATGTGGAATGAATGGCTTGAGATCAGGTTCCTTGCATTTGAAAAGCAAGATAGAACTCAGGGCTCCAGGAGGCTGTCAGTCCTGCAGATTAGTATTGGCACCTTTTGGTACTCTAAAGGGAGAGATGTTCACATTTCTAAAGACTGAGCTTCAGCATGAAAACCCCATGTGCACTTTTCTCTCTCATACATTAGCTTTATGCAGAAGGCCAGAAGCCATGCTTCAGCATGGAAAGTCAAATATATTTAACATACACATTTACTAATTAGTATCTAGATAGATCCTTCTGCCTTAAAAGTTCCAAACCACTACTT